CAGGAGGTCCTGCCCCTGGGCACCCCTTTTGCAGGCAGGTCTGCTGCCTGTCCCTGCCCCAGGAGAGAGGTCTAGGCACTCCCGGCAGCCTGAGGTCTGCACTGCAGCCTCTCCCTTCAGCAGTTCTGTCTGTGTGGAGGCATCAGCCGCCGCTGGGGTAGATGGTGCAGACCCCCCAGCTGGAGCCGCGGCCCGTACCCTCAGACGAGTGCCCACCCTTCTGCCCTGAGGGTCAGGTAGGATGAGTGCCCTATCGTTACAGGGCCTGCTTGAAGTAGGTCTACTGGGAGGGCTGCATAGTAGTTTTTAGCTAATAAAGGACTTAATTATGCAGACTGATGCAGGGCTCTTCAAAACTGCAGAGCCTCCACACATACAGCTGAAAGGAGCCGCCAGCATGGATGGGGGAGAGCAGGAGGAACCCCTGTTTAATCCCTCTCCTTTAAAACTTCCAGTGATAACATCTACACAACCTTCCCAATACCTTGTTCTAGTGTCGTAAAAATTCCTTATGGTTAGAAAGTCTTCTCTAATTTCTGATCTAAATCTTCTGTTCTGTAAACGAGGCTGATTCTTTCTATCTTTCCCTCAGACTACCAATAACCCTCTCTATATAAATTTTCTAGATACATACATACATACTTTTATATATATATATATAAAAAATATACAGATATAAAAAACATTACAATACTTTCTTAATGAGTTCTGGACCTGATTGTAATGCACCAGGAAAGAAGAATGCACGTCCTCCCAGTGCTCTGGGCAAGAACAAATAATTTGCCACAAATAAAAGGTGATACTATAATTTATAGGCCCTATTCTTTGCATCTCAGGAGAAGTCTTTGCTTCTGCTCCTACTGAGGTACCTACCAATTTCTGTATATTTTCTGAGTTTGAGAAAAAATGTTTGTGAAACATGGCGGGTAATTATCCCTATAGCCCTTCTTTGTAGCTTGTCAAGATTTCCTTCATTTACAGGCTTTCCATTTGGGTAAATTAGTATCAGCCAAACAATGGAGATTGGAAGTTTTCCTTTAAGCCTGGGCTTTCATTCCTGCAGGCTTGAAAAAAAGTTAATGAAACCTGGAGTTACCAAAATGAGTTTTTCTAGAAAGGAACAAACTTGGCATTATTTGTGCCAAATCTTTATTATGTGATTCAAAGGATGCTAACACTTGTATTTATTTTTACATTATTAATGCATAAATGCAGAAAAAGTCAACCGAAGTTGGTGGCATTCCAGAGCATGTTACCGAACAGTGTGAAAAGTGAGCCTGGGTATTTCTCTGAGATTATCTCCATTATTCATTTATGGCTTTGTGTTTATGAGTAGAGTAAAAACCCTAAATTCGTGCTGATAAAACCTTTACATCACATCACTCTCTTTCTGTAAGTTGTCCAGAAAGTTAAATGTTACTCATCCAGAAAGAGGAATGGACAGAAGACACTTGCCTGAGGATGTGGCATCACATCACAGCTGTGCTATTCTGCTGGCTCACTGCTGCTGCTAAGAGGGGCCGGTTTCCTCCCTCCTTTCCATGGCAGCCTGGTTGGTTGGTTGGTTGGTTGGTTGGTTGGTTGGTTGGTTTTTACCATACTTCTGTTGCTCCTCTTGAACAGGTTGTGACTCTTACCTGACCAACATGGAGCCAAACTCACTGAAAGCTAATCATCTGGTCTAGTTCCTTGAGCCTGGATTTATGCAAGGCCTGATGCAGCATGAAGGAGAGGTCCATGCTGCTGAGATGGGAGGAGTTGTCTGCTGCTAACTTAGATCCTCCAACCTGCAATCTCACTTCAGTTGACTTAAACCACCCCAAAACCTCCCCTGGTTCTGGTCGCTCATTTCTGCCTCTGCACTTTTTTCAGCACTATGCTCACACAAAAGTTTCAGTGCCTTAGGGGTGACCCACGCTGATCTCGCTGAGAATAGCCTATTAAAATGGTTGGTTTTTCCGCAGGTCATTTTCCTGACTCAGTTAACCTGGTGCTGGCTCGGCGCAGGCAGTGACTGTGGTCACGGAGTGGGAGATGGAGGGCAGCAGCTACACACGCCTATCTGGCCGCCTGTGCCACCCGAGAAATTCTTATGTAGCCATGGGGTCTTAGTGCTAAAACCAATGAAAAATATTTCTGCCAGGAAACTTTCCCTGGCTGACGTAAATTCACAGCAACTCCATCATCTTCGGAGCAGTTCCTCCAACTCACAGAGTGTAAGGCCAGAAGGTCACTTAGATTAATCTTTCACATGGAGCGCAGGGAGCAGAATTGATCACTCCATTGTTTTGCTCTAAAAACAGCCCCAGTCTGGGAGCGCATTTCTGCTTTATAGCCTTCCCAAATGCTGAAGCTTAGAGCATTAGAAGCTTTCGGGTAGCCGAAAGACGTGCCTGCACATCCTTAAACATAGACAGAGAGGTGTACATACTTATCTGCCTACAATATGGTACAAATGGAGAAGCTGATTGCATTTATCACACATTTGTGGTTGCAGCTTTGGGAGGCTCCTAGTACTTACACGTGGATGTTACTGTACTATGCAGACAAGTAGTTATTGTTGCTGGGTTGGACCACCACTTTCTTCTTCTGTGAAAGGAACCTGATTTCTATTTCTCACATATTTTCAAATGAAACGAAGAACTTACACCAACATTCTTGAAAAATATGTTCTGACGGCATTCTGGTAACAGCCTTGAGGCCAGATGAAACCAGTAGGTCTTCTGGTCAGCCTTTCTTATGATTTGCCCTTACATTTCATCCAAAATACTCTTGCTCTGAGCTGAGTATCTTGAGCGACTGGTTAGTCAATGTGGAACTTCCTGAAAGATACTGAATCTTGATCTGAAGACATCAAGAGATGAAGAATCCACTGCTGCTCTTAGCTGATCAATAATTTTAACATGACCTCAGAGCCAGCTTAATTAATTAGAGATTGATATCTAGAACTCTCTGCCTCTTTAGTATGCCAAGCAGAAAACATTATGAAGTAACACATTTGTTACTTAAGTCCCTAATTGTCTGCCACTCTTCAATGCAAAAAAAAATTAGAATTATTGATTGGGTATCTAGAGTAAGTCTGTTTCAATGATCTCAACTACTCAGTACTAACGAGGAGTTGGGATTCAAAGAAACAGGTCTCACTATCAAGACTTTTCTCATTAGAGCTAAGCTCAGGACGAATGCAGGCATACTGCTTATACTCTCAGGCCAGTCCTGGCTCTAACTCCTGGTTTTTGCTTCCAGGAGGCTGTCAGGGAAATAAAGGCTCTGTAAGTCCCTAAATATTCTGGCTACTTGAAAGATACGCTCTTTCAAGTAGAGCTGAAGCTCCCTCAATATGAACAAATAATTCTCTGAACCAAGAAAGCCTACAATCAATTTATGTCTCAAGGTCTAATTCTTCCGTGAACTGGCTGAGGCCAAATAAAGTTTAAGTTCACAGCGTGGCTCCTTCAGTGTCTAGTAAGGTCTTTCACCCCTACCATATCCCTGATGCCTCTACAGCCCGGTCAGATATGGTTGAAACTGCCCAGGAATTGGGGAAAAGAGGCAACCGCCATGCCACACGCAAGAAAACGTGATTGCATGGAACCTCTCCAGGACGCCAGACTACAAAGAAGCTGCCTCTTTTGGTTTTGGTATATTAGAGCCTGAACTTGTTAGCTCTCAAATGTGCTTAAAGGACCATCCTCCTCCTTCGTCACTGAGGCTTCTGCGATATTCATGTCAATGATGTTGGTCATTTTTAATCTATGGCACTGCGGTGGACACTCACAGATACGGGTTTAACCTTCAAAGAAGCCACTGAAAACTTCTCTGAGTTTAGTTAGAGCTTGCTGAGTTCCCTATATAAATTAGAGCAGCCTCAGGGTCCCAGGGCTTGCCAAGTCTGAATTCTCAGTGTTGCAAATGGAAGAAATTGTGGCATGAGGCAGCAAGCACCAAAGCTGTAATGATCTTCCTTCAGGGTGTCAATTACATTTGCTGTTTGCCTTATGGCACATGTAGGTGATTACAGTGTGAAGGCCAGGATACATTTGTTTAATGTATCCTTGAACTCTATTACATTTTCCACTCATGTTGGTAGAGCCTTATCTTCAATTACACTCCTTTCCATATGCCCCAAGCTATTATTTGTTACAAGACCAACCTGACCCTCTTGTATCCAAAATGCCAGTGAATTAAATCTAATTTTTATACTTTTCAACTTGAACAGTTATCTCACGATGCACATAACAAACAGATAACGAGATCTGCATTTTATTAGACACAGCGGCGCTTACTGATGTTTAACTATTAGGCAGAACCATTTTGCTGCTCGCAATTACAATTACATTATTTTTCTCTGTGGCTGGATAGCTGTCAATTGATTTAACTCATTCTAAATGTGTGGTATAGTGTTTTCCTTAGTGTTGCTTGCACTCGTACTTAGAGAATTGGATACATTTCTATTCTTTTTTCCTAGAAGGGAAGGGACATTTCCATAGTTACATTTCTCTACAGTCTAAGCTTTTTGCCTCCTATATTTTGTGACAATTTTCCCAAGCTCTGTGTCTGGGATGCTCCAAAATCACATTCTTAGCTTTAAGCATATCCTCAAACCCTGGTCATTTTGATAAGACTAAAGCACATACTTGAAATTAAACACAGTCATGAATGAGGATGTGTTCCTGAAATAAGTCCATGTAAAAAATGACCCAGTGGGCAAGTTCCAATGGCTAACACATACACCATGTAGTTGTAGTGCTCTACACATTTTATGCTTTATATGTACCTGCTTATAATTTATGATTCATACAGTTCTCGTAACGATCAAATGATAAAAGCATCAAACTGGGATCTAATCAATGCAAATATTTCGGCCCATCACAGGATACACGAAGATCCGCCCTCCCCAGAAGAGCCTGGCTACCACGTGGCTCTCCTACACGCTGGGAGTTGACTCACACATTCATAAATAATCCAGCTGGTAAATATCAAACGGTTACGTACCCTCACTGGTTTTGTGTGCATACGCCTGTTCTGGCTCAGGACAAGCTAAGGAAGAAAGCAATGCAGGGAGGTGAATCTAAGTCTCTTTACATTAAGCCGACAAGAACAGAAGCATATATGTCATCATTTACTGTATCTCAATTTGCGGAGGGTAATTTCTCATAATAGGCTGACTTGATTGCTTACTGAACATACCTTGGAGACTGTTTGGTCTTGCTTTTGCACAGCAAAAGCTCACCTC